ATGTACTTCTCCCGGACCCCGCGCGACAAGAAGGACGCTGCCGCGCCGCCGCGGGAGGCGTGGATCTACGATGACAGCGGCACAAGCAGAAATCTTTGGAGCTCCGCGCGGGTTTCTTGCACGGGCGATGGACCTCCCTCCCTGGCGCGCGGAGCGCGCCACGGGTGGCGCTAGAAGCGCCGCCATGGGAGTTCCAGCCCCGATCCGAGAAATCCGCGCCGAGCCCCGAAGGTCTATGCCTGCATTGTTTGTTGTTGTTCGATCACGAGGACTTGGCATCGCTCGGACATGTGTTTGTTCTCGGCGAGGACCATCGAGGAGCATCCTGGGTCTACTTGCGGCAAGAGCACGAATCTGAACATGCACGGGGAATGCACGTCCGAGCGATGGCTACAGAGGGAGTCGGTCGATGCAGATTTGATGTTGCACCTCCGCTTTCGCGCGCCACACGGCGGGACGCGCGGGGCCTGGACGAGGACCCTCGGTGTCCACTGCGCGCCACCTTCTGCTTGGTTTTGTTTTGCCGTCGGAAGATCGCTCTCTCTCTTTTCCGCCCGCTCTGCTTCCGCCTTCCACCATCTAGTGCCCAATTCGCTTCTGGAGTGTCCCTCCCGGGCGTCTGACCTTTCTGCCGCCCGCTGACAGAAACGGTTGGTTTTGGGTTGGGGCAATGCCAGCAAAGGATGGTTGCCCTCGGACCCCTCTTTGTGATCGTTTTTTTTGTTGGCCCGCGGCGGTTGCGTCCCCATTATCGAGCCACATCTCTAACGTCTTTATGCCCTCTGGCCGACAAGCACTCTACCACTTTGAAGGCCTCACGGGTTTCCAGGATAACTTCCAATCATTCGGTCACGGTTCCGATGTAGTCGATTTGTGCACACGCGTACACGCGCACACACATTAATGTTTTGCAATGCGTGCGCAAGTACGATGCATTGCAGCTGTAGGATGCTGTTCCAGATAGCGTCTCTTGGGGCACATGACTACAACCTCCAATGCCGAGGATACAACTCCTGAGAACTACATTCAGCATCGGCGCTGGTATATCCGTGTTCTGAAATTGGCCTGACCCAGCATAATGTCGTCCAGTGCGGCTGAATATTTGGCTGCATTTGGGCACATCTGGGGCTTAGTGTCGGGTGAATCCGGTTGAGTGGCCCCCCTTCGGGCTTCATACGAAGTTTCCCAGGAAATGCTTCGTGATGGTCAGCGCATCCGCTGTGTCCCAACGGGGAGCGGTGCGGAGGCTGGATGGGGGTCAGGGCGTCGGGGTCGCCGCGCGCGCCTGCTGCCATACCGGCTCGACATCCGCGCGATTTGAGACGGCCTCGCCGGCCAAGGGCGGGACCATCTTCGACTAGCGTACGAGGTGACCCTTCGCCGGAGTGACCTTTGGTGCGGGCCCACTGGGGTCCCCCGAAGAAAACAAAGCACGAAAAGCATACACTTGCGCTCCGCGCGGATTTCTTGGATCTGCGCTCGGGCCCCCCCCGCGGCGCCTCTGGCGCCGCCCCTGGCGCGCTCCGCGCGCGGAGCGCCAAAAGTTGATGTTTATTCCGATCTTTTTCTTCTTGTTCCCCGATCTCCAACGCGATGCGGTCATAGCGTCTTGCGCGTTTGTGTTTGGTCCCTCCGCGGCGCCCAAGAAGCCGCGCACCAGAGGTCACTCTTACCCAGGGTCGCTCGTGCGTTTAGTCGACATCTGCCCGGCCGATGGCCAGCAGAGCTGCCGCCCGCGACGCCCCTGGGCCTCTGAAAGCAGGCTCGGGCGTGTGGGCGTTCTACCACGCGCCCAGCCATCGACAAGGCTTGGCGACGTCAGACCTATCCTGCAAAGGAGGATTATGTACCGATACCGCTGTCCTAGCTTCGTTTTTTCTTCTCTTTGGGCCTCGTGGTAGGCCCTCGTAGCCACAGCCGGCTTCGATTCGAAATTTTGGTCAGAGCGCATCCCAAGAGAGGTCTCGATATTAGCGGTATCGGTACGTCTTATTTCCCCCAAGACCTATCTTACGATCGGGGCGTAGCAACTTTTTCACACTAGGCGTTTTCGCGCCAGTGTAGGGACCCAGGAGCATCAGAGATCGATCGGGCTCGAGAACAGCCGCGGAGTCATAGGTTGGCGGCGAAATTCGAAGCCTGCCCTCGGGGATCAACGACACAGGCAACTCGATGGGCGGCGGGAGTAGAGTTCGTGGCGAAGTCCGAGCCCTACCCTTAAGTCGGACCTGTCCCTCTACAGGAGGAATATGTAGAAACAGTAAGAAAAACTCTAGGGACGATTTGTTGATTGTTCTTTAACTATTGTTTATGGATCATATTTATTTTTCGTCCAAAATCCGCCTGTAGGGGGACAGGCCCGACTTAACCCTACCCCCGCCTCCCATATATTCAGGATAATCGATGGTTTGTGGGGGTAGGGTCCGACTATCGCCACCTAACAGGGGTCCAGGTTCCTGGTTGTGATTTTTTGCGGTGGTGCAAGTTTGTCACAGCGCCAGATCTCAGAGTGCTCTTATCGGCGGCGAGCGAGGGGGGAAGTGAGAAGGAGGAGGCCTTCTCAGAAGGTTCGGAAGTCCCCCTGCCTTCTGAGAACTTCTCTGAGCCTTCCCCGAAGGCAGCAAAAACACTTCTCAGGAGGCGCGAGGGCCTCTGAGAAGCCCCGCCGCCCTCTGAGAAGGCCTTCTCCTTCTCATTCCCCCCCCCCCTCTCGGTCGCCGCCGACCCTATAGCCCCAGAGTGCCAGGGCTCCCGTGGGTGCCACCATCCGGCCCACACCCCGAGGTGGGGGCGGGTGCCGCGAGGCCCGAGGGTACGGGCAGCTGTGCCGTCCGTCCCCGCTCGGGGCGGCAGGCCGGGCAGCGGGGCCGAGGTCGGCGACCACCGGGCGTGGCTGCGCCGGCGTGCGGCTTGCGATCCGGAGCGTGGAGGCTTTTTTTTGAGGGGGGGGGGGGCGGGCGCCAGGAGCAGGAGGGGAAAAACACAGACACAATGAATCGTCGATTCCCCCGAAAGTGGGAAGTGGGGGGGAAAACGATAATCCAGAAAATACAGGGGAAGTATGGGAAATCCTGTTATTTGAATGTATTTATTTGAGTGTCCCAGGGCCCCTTTACAGCAGCCCGACGAAGAGCGAGCAGAGGCAGGTGGGGATCTTCGTGCTCCAGCCCCGCCCCTGCGCGCCCTCCGGCAGGGGGGAGGCACCGGCAGGGGCAGCCCCGGCCACTGGGCAAGGGCGGCACACTGTGCTCTTTGCGAGCTGGAGCGGTGCCCGCGCCTGCCACCCCCCCCCCAGGGGTGCCGGTTGCAAAGCGCACCCCTGGCAGACCACGCCCTGTGGAGTCGCCGACGAGGGCTTTCCTCGCCGACGAGGGGATAGGAGGGGAGGGGGGATGCGACGAGCGCGTTCCATTATTCGCAAAGTGATTGCTCGCAAATGGCCTGGATCTCCCGCGGGGGATCTACGAGAAATGACATCCAAGCAGACAGGTGTTTTTCGGACGTTTGCGCGTAGGCACTTTTGCGAGTAGTGGAATGCGCTCGGCGGTGGACGGGCCTGGCGATGCCGCAAGGCTTCCGCTACGTGAGGCTGCTGGAGAGCGAGGACCGGTCGGACGGGACCAGGACGAGGACAATCCGTTCCAGAGCGTTCCAGAGCATTCCAGGACGCTCTCGGAGCGTGCCAGAACGCTCCGAGAAGGCCGCGGCGCCTGAGACATCCTCCAGAGCTGCCGGATCTCAGAGATTCTCGATTTATCCTTACACGGTTTGATCCTCGTCCTGCGTCTTCATCGGGGGCAGCGGCAGGGGGGGGGGTACTGGCCCCAGTGGGGTAGGCGTCGCCCCCCGTCGCCCATGCGTCGCCGATGGGAGCCTTGGCACCCCGCCCGGGGCCCAGGGGGCCAGGGACGCGCGGTGTCGCGATTGGGGGCCCATCGCCGATCGATCTGCGATGTATCGCTGATGCCAGGTCGGGGTGCCCCCCCCGAACCTCGCTGGCAACAAGGACTGATACTCTAGGCCTCCTGGAGGGTGTCCGAGTAGCTGGAGTCGGAGGATCGCGCCGCATCGCCGGTGCATCGACGATGCGGCTCGATGTGGAGCCCGTGTTTCCCCACGCCGACGTCGCCGCTGCATCGCCGATACACATCGGCGATGCATGGGTGATGCGGCGCGATCCTTCGACCCCCCAGCCATACCCTGACCCCGTCCAGGAGGCCTCCTGGACGCCGCGACTCCCCGCGCCCCTTCTGGGATGCGTTCTGACCACGGTTTCGGGGCGAATCCAGCCGTGGCGACGGGGGCACCCCAGGAGGCTTCCGACTGGCGGAAGCGAGGGGAGGGTGGCCCCCGGACTCTTCCCTGCTGCTCGACCGTCAGCCAGTCCGATAGGCCAGAGAGGCAGGGAGTGAGGGGGAGGTGAGGCAGCATCAGTGGGATTCCAGAGTAGTTCCGCTGCTGGCGGCGGGATCCCATTCTTCTCTTCCCCATGCTCCTCCCTTGAGGTCCTCGTCTGTTCCTCCTCGCCTCACCGCCTCTTTGAGTTTATAAACGCCAGCATCCGTAGACTGTTCGGAGCTGCCCTCGTGGAAACCCGTAGTTTGGTCCGTTCCTTGGTTCCTCCCTTGGAGCTTGGTCTTCGGTTCCTGTTCCCGGGTCTTGGGTGCTGGCGCGTTATCGCTAATTCTGGTATCCCGCATTCAGGTTTTCGATGGTAGCCCCCACAGTTTTGAGGAGTTCCAACCGCTTCTAGCCGCAGGGATCTGTCCGTCTGGATCGTGTGAGCCCCCTACCTGCTAAGTACCGCATCGCCCGCGCTGGAGGAACTAGAGCGGTTCTTTTGATTTCAGTCTCGGCCGAATTCAGACTCGTGTTCCTGATGAGCTCTCCGCCGCCGCGACCGCGCTCACCGCCTCCCCCAAGCCAGTTTTCCATCTGCCGTTGCCCCTCATCGAAGAAGGCGTAACACACAAACCTTGGACGCTCCGCGCGGATGTCTTGAATCTGCGCTGGACCCCCTGGCCTTTGGCCGCGCATCCGGCGCCGCCCCTGGCGCGCTCCGCCCGCCAGGGAGGGTCAGTATCGTTTATCCGACCCCATCCCCATCCCCATCCCCTTCAAGACCCCCACCAAATTACCCCCCAGTTGGGGACACACCCCTCGAAACCCGAAGGGAACGGCCTATAATTACCCCCATCTATAGGGGGGCAAATCGGCCAGTGGGGCCCAGGCCACGCCGCTGGGGATGGGGATCGGTTAAACGATACTCTGAGTGGGGTCCAGCGCCGATCCAAGAATTCCGCCCAGAGCTCCGAAAGTTTTTGCTCGTGCAGCCGTACAGTCAACCCGCATGGTAAGGATGGGCAACATTCCCAAGGGTGCTCCTGCATCCCCTGCCTCCTCGGCCCATCCTCGGCCACTCGCGGGCCGCGCCCCGCTCGAACGGCTGCGAGGCTGGCGCCCAAAAGGCCCCCACGTCCTCCTCGCGCATCCTCGCTGCACGGGCTGACCGTGACCCCCTCCTGCCGCAGGAGGGCGGACGCCCGGCCGAGGCCGCTCCCGGCGCGGGCACGGTGGGCCTCTCCACGGGCTGGGTCGAGGCGACCGTGGCCGAGGATCGGGGGCGACGAAAGGGGCGAGCAGCCCCAGGGAGAGAGCAGTCCCAGGTCTTCGGGTGCGCCGAGGATCTGTGTCTTCGAAGAGGCTCCCTGGCGAAGACGTGTAATGCCCGCCCCTGGGCTATTCGCCCCTATCGTCGCCGCCGAGAGGACTGGCGGCCTGCCGAGGGGGGCGGGAAGAGCGCCCAGGCGAGCCGGCGAGCAAGGGTCGTGCATCTCGTGTGCCGCGTTCTGTTTCTGGTGATCAGGCAGTGGCGAAGCGTCCCGGCGTGCCTACAGGCCTACCAAACAATGTTCTGAGAACCTTTTGTTTGTGGTGCCCAAGAAATGTTCTCAGAACATTTCTGGCTGGTGTTGTCTTGTTTGAACACATCGGGTGTATGTTCTAAGAACATGTGTTGGTTCCTAGAACATCTTTGGGTTCTAAGAACATGTCTTGGTAGGCCTATAGGAATTCCAGGACGGCCGGTCCCTGCTCAATTGTTTCCGGTGAGCTTCCACTACGTGCCAGCCTGGAACATATCTTTGTCATTATGATGGGTATCGTCTCATCTCGATGCCGATCGTCAGGGTTCCCTGGGTTTCTGAGGACGCATCCCTGAGATTGGCATCGCCTGTCGGCTGGTAAATCTTAGGGGTATGGATTAGTTCGAGACTGGTTAACGTCGCCCTCGGTCGGGGGTTGCTAAGGGTGCCCCTGTCACATGGCGCTCCCAGCTTTTCGCTGCATTTTGGAGCGCCTGGGGCCCTCTTGGCCTCGCGAGCGGTGCTCTGGAGGCCGCGGGGGCCTCCTTGGAAATCCTGGGGGCACCGTGGGCCAGGTGCACTTCTAGCAATACCCGATTTCCCTCCAGCACTCAGGCACAAGGACTGCATGTTCTGGGCGTGTCCTTCCTCCCCCCGCGCGCTCCTACTCTTCCTCCCGATGCGCCTGCTTTAGTGCCTCAAGATTCGCCTTGGTCGCTCGAACGCTGCTTGAGTCAAGCAGCCGCAGATTGAAAATTAGCCTGGCGAAAGACCCAACCATAAGCAATTGTTAATACCGCAATTGTGGGCATCATCTTCGGTGGAGCTCCATATGGGGCCACGAACCGTGTGAGGGGTGCGCCAAAATGGGGCGGGGCCGCCATGCGGACCCTGCCACTGGGGCCTTCGGTGGAGCTCCCTATGGGGCCACGAACCGTGTGAGGGGTGCGCCAAAATGGGGGTGGGGCCATGCGGACCCTGCCACTGGGGCCTTCGAGTGGAAGCTCCCTATGGGGCCACGAACCGTGTGAGGGGTGCGCCAAAATGCGGGGCCGCCATGCGGACCCTGCCACTGGGGCCTTCGGTGGAGCTCCCTATGTGGCCACGAACCGAGTGAGGGGGGGCGCCAAAATGCGGGGCCGCCATGCGGACCCTGCCACTGGACTTTCGGTGGAGCTCCCTATGGGGCCACGAACCGTGTGAGGGGTGCGCCCCAATGCGGGGCAACCATGCTGACCCTGCCACTGGGGCCTTCGGTGGAGCTCCCTATGGGGCCACGAGCCGCGTGAGGGGTGCGCCAAAATGGGGCGGGGCCGCCATGCGGACCCTGCCACTGGGGCCTTCGGTGGAGCTCCCTATGGGGCCACGAACCGTGTGAGGGGTGCGCCAAAATGCGGGGCCGCCATGCGGACCCTGCCACTGGAGCCTTCGGTGGAGCTCCCTATGGGGCCACGAGCCGTGTGAGGGGTGCGCCAAAATGCGGGGCCGCCATGCGGACCCTGCTACTGGGGCCTTCGGTGGAGCTCCCTATGGGGCCACGAGCCGTGTGAGGGGTGCGCCAAAATGCGGGGCCGCCATGCGGACCCTGCCACTGGGGCCTTCGGTGGAGCTCCCTATGGGGCCACGGAACGCGTGAGGGATGTGCCGAAACAGAGACATGCGGAGGGCAGAGGCAAGGGGGAGGGAGGAGAGGGAGGGGGCAGCGGGAGGAAGGAGGAGGAACGCGGGGCACCGTCTCGTCAAAACGAGGACCCAACACCACAGGATGGTTGGGGAAAAATGGGATTATCCGATCCTTCGTGAGGGGTTTGCCGCATGGGGCGCGGGGCCGTCATGCAACCCTACACTGGCGCCATTCGGTGAAGCTCCCTATGCGGTCACGAACCGTGTGAGGGGTGTGCCGACAAGGGGCGGGGCCGCCAAGCGAACCCTGCCACTGGCGCCTTCGGTGGAGCTTCCTATGGGGCCACGATTCTCGTGAGGGGTGCGCCGACATGGGGCGGGGCCGCCATGCGAACCCTGCCACTGGCGCCCTCGGTGGAGCTCCCCACAGGGCCACGATCCTCGTGAGGGGTGCGCCGACATGGGGCGGGGACGCCATGCGAACGCAGCCACTGGGGCCTTCGGTGGAGCTCCCTATGGGGCCGCGCATTCCTCGTGCGGGTGTGCGAAATATGGGCGGGCCGCTTCGATAGCGACCACCCTGCCACTGGGGCCCTCGGTGAAGCTCCCCACGGAGCCACTATCCTCGTGAGGGGTGCGCCGCAATGGGGCGGGGCCGCCATGCGAACCCTGTCACTGGGGCCTTCGATGGAGCTCCCTAAGGGGCCACGAACCGTGTGAGGGGTGCGCCAAAATGGGGCGGGGCCGCCATGCGAACCCGGCCACTGGGGCCTTCGGTGGAGCTCCCTATGGGGCCACGAACCGTGTGAGGGGTGCGCCAAAATGGGGCGGGGCCGCCATGTGAACCTTGCCACTGGGGCCTTCGGTGGAGCTCCCTACGGGGCCACGAACCGTGTGAGGGGTGCGCGAAAATGGGGCGGGGCCGCCATGCGGACCCTGCCACTGGGGCCTTCGGTGGAGCTCCCTACTCGGGCCTTATGATGATGATGGTGATGATGATGATGCTGATGATGATGATGATGATGATGATGATGATGACGGTGATGATGATGACGACGGCGACGATGATGATGCTGATGATGATGATGACGATGATGATGGCGGGAGGAGGGAGGAGGGGGGAGGAGGAGAGGAGTGAGGACGCGGGCGCTGTCTCTTCAAAACGAGAACCCAACACCACAGGATGGTTGGGAAAAACAACAGTGAGCTAATTTTTGGGATTCCCAGATGGAGTCCGAGTAGAGGGGTCGTAAAATCGTGCCTCACTGCCGATGCATCGGCGATGCGTCTCGATGTGGTGCCCTGTGTTCTCCACGCCGATGGCGCCGATGCATCGCCGACGTCGCCAGTGCATCACCGATGCTTCGGCGATGCACGGGCGATGCGGGGCGACCTTCCGACCCCAGTTATCCAGGCCCCGTGTAGGAATCCTCTACATTGCAAAGGTCCAAGTGCGCTTGCCTGTTCACGGCGCGGGGTGAAAAGCTCCCGCGCAAGCTTCCACGGAGCCGTGCCGTCCTTTGGGTGCCGCGGCAAGCGTCGGGATCGGCAGCGCTGCGTTTTTCTGTTTTGGGTGCGGGGGGCATGATCCGTGCTCGCGCCAGCACTCAGGCCATCGGCACTGCTCAACAATCCTTTAGCCGAGCCCGTCGCATGGGAAGTCCATCCTGCAGGGCCTCGGGAGGCGGTGGACCTGGACAAAGCCCCCCTGGGACTCGCTGCATCCACATCCTTCGATGGCAACTCACGGGGGCCTCGCACGTCCTCGACGTCCCATCTCTGGAGGGCATCGGCGTGCGCCTGGTAATCGGAGAGAATTGTTTGGCGTCGGCTATCGTCGGTCATCGTCGACCCGCCAGCAAGATTACACGGGAGGCTCCCGTGAGTTGCCACAGAAGTATCCACTGCCCCCTGGGTCCCCGCATCCACTGCTCCTGGAGTTCCACGCGCTTCATGCATTCGTCGGGTTCAATCAGGGCCGAAGATTGGCCAAGAGAACTCCTTAACGAGGCCACCGAGACGGTCCAAGAGGCCACGAGTCGCCGAAGGTTAGCTTGGTCCTGGGGTCCCAGGACACGGGTCGGCGGCGAGCCCAGAGTGGGAAGTCAGAGGGGGCAGTCTTCCTCAGAAGGCGGCGGGGCTTCGCTGGAGCCCTCCGTGGCTTCGCAGAAGGCTTACGTTGAAAGCTTCCCAGAAGGCCTAGAAGGCCGGAGGCCTTCTGAGCCTTCTGAAAGGGCCGCCCCCATTGCATTCCCCCGCGCGTGCCGCCGAAGGACGTCCTCGAGAGCCTTCTCAGAAGCTTCTTGAGATGTCGCCGCAAACGAAGACGCAGACGCTTTCTGCGCAGGGCCCTCGATCTCAAAGCTCAGGGGCGTCAGGCTTGCTTCCCACGGGGGCGGGAAACAAAAAGAACAGACTCGGGACGAAGAGCCGGCCCAGGGGAAGGGGAAGCGGAATGGGCTGCAGGTCGGTGCGGTCGAAATGAGTACGGAGAGATTGAGCACGAAGACCGACAGCAGATCTTGTATCTTGTGTGCATTTTCAACGGGGCTGTCCGCGCCCTCGTGGACCCAGCCCATTTGAGACAGAAGGCCGCCTGCCCACCAGTGGCCGCCGTCGGTTTGGGGCAATAGCTGTTGCTGGGCGCCTACTTTTTCGTGCCCACTTCAGGTGTCCCAACTCGATGAACTCCAGATGGAACAATTCAAGACATCGGATCTCTGGGTTTGCAACCTGCATGAGCCATTGGCGGGAGGCCCACCGATCCCCGCCAGCCGCGCGAGCCGCGCAGGTGGTGGTCCACCTGCGCGGCTTCTTCGCCGACCCCTACCGGCCGGACCCCGAGCCGGTGGACTGCATGTACTGGAAGCTCGGGCGCGGGCTCGTGCGGCCCCTGGACGAGTCACGGCCGCCCGTGGAGCTGTCGTTGTTCGTGGCGAGGTTCGAGGACGAGGAAGCCCTGAGATCGGGGGTCTCCGGGGGTTGCCATGGTTTCGCACTGCGTGTGTGCGCCCGGTTTCGGGCCCTTTGGGCCCTCGCAGTAGACCGAGCTGGCGCAGAACATGTTGCAGAAAGATGAGTTCCACTGGTCGGATCGTGGTTGTACGCGATGTTGCAATCTGTCACAACGTAGGATCGCAGGGGAACGCGCACGAGCATAGATTTTCGGAGTTCCACGCCGATCTGATAGACCTGCGCTGGACCCATCCGCCAGGGGGTCCATCGCCAGTCCAAGACGTCCGCGCAGGCCTCCGCACGTGTACCTTGATGCGGTCTTGCTTCCTCCAGAGGTGGTGGCAGTACGACAACCCCGAGGCGCGTGCCCGCTCCCACAACATCCTGCACAAGGGCCTCATGGAGGACTCGGCGGCGCTCCGAGGGGGGAAGTCCTCGGATTTCTGGGGAGGGTCGAACCTCGAACTTCGACCGACGACGACGAAGACGACGATTGCGGGAACGGCGGCGACGGCGGCGACGGCGACGGCGACGGCGACGGCGACGGCGGAGGTGGCAGGCCTTCTCAGAAGTCGGCGGGGCTTTATCAGAAGCCCTCAGTGGCTTCGCCGAAGCCCTGTGTGGCTTCGCAGAAGGCTTAGAAATCTTCTCAGAAGGCTGGAGGCCTTCTGAGCCTTCTGAGAAGGCCTGCCCCCTCTGCCTTCCCCCGCGCGTGCCGCCGAAGGACGTCCTCGAGGGCAAGGGGTCTCCGCACGAGGCCTTCGGGACCGCTGGCCAGTACGAGGTCTACACCGCCTTCGTGCGAGGCTGAGGGGTCACGTCGGGGCGTTAGGGGTTAGGACCCGCTCTCATGGGAGGAAATTATAATATACCGATACCGCTAAACTTCGCCCGTCCTCCCCTTGTTCGGCCTCCTGGGAGGCCCTCGTCGCCTCCGTTGGAGTCGGATCGAAATCCTGGTCAGAAGGTGCCCCGGGAGAGGTCCAGGGAGTAGCGGTATCAGTACCTTTTGATTTGCTCCAAGCTCAGGGTTGGGAACATCGACCTGGAATCGGCGATGCATCGCCGGTATGTCGGCGATAGGCTCCCGATGATGATACCGAATCTGCACCTTCCTGGGCGGGGCGGGCTATCGGGCCCCATCGACGACGACTCGGCGATTGAGGGTCGACGCCCCCCCTTCCCTCAGCCTATCCTCTCTAACCCAGACCCCCGACGTACTGTTTTTGTTCACGACGTGGACATCCATCGGCATGGACCCTCCCCCCTGGACCCGGCTTCTCATCCTGAGCAATTTTTAACGGCCCCGGGGCCCGTGGAGGGCCCTCGGAGGTTGAAAATAGCCCCACGCCGGCCGCGCTCCGATTTCTGCTGGAGCATCGGACCACCTCTGTGCCTCTGTCGGTGAAGATAGACAGGCCTCGCCGGCGGGGCTCCTGGGCCGCGACCCCGCGAAGATGGGGAGATATTCCGCGGATGCCCGGCGCGGGACGCCTCCGTGCGACTGCGTAGCCGCCGGATCGCGGCCCGGAGCCCAGACCGCGAGGGCGCGGATACGGATACGTTCGCCGCTGGTGACTCCCCCCCCTGAGCCCGATCTCCCCCCCGCCCGCGAGGCTGGCCCCCTCGGATCAGGAGGGGAAGAAACACGCAGACACAATTCATTGTCGATTCAATCGAACATATAAGGAAATATGGGAAGTGGGGGGGAAGACGACAACCCCCGAACTATGGACAAAATATTGAGAATTCTGTTATGTGTGTGTGTGTGTGTCCTTGGGCCCCTTGATGAGAGGCGGCGAGGACCTGGACGCCCTCGGCGAGGGCCTCGCCGCGCAGCTGCACAGCCGGCGCCGGGCGGCGCTCTACTTCCTGTGGCCCTCGCAGCGGCTCGGCCGCGAGCGCTTCGCGGCGGGCTACGTGGCCGAGCGGTCGCTCACGGGCCTGATGCGGCGCATGGAGGCCGGCGGCGTCAGGACCTCCCCCTCCTCCTCCCCTTCTCCTCCTCCTCCTCCTGCTCCTGCTCCTCCTCCCTCCTCCTCCTCCTCCTCCTCCTCCTCACTCTCTCCTCCTCCTCCTCCTCCTCCTCTTCCTCCTCCGCCTCCTCCTCCTCCTCCTCCTCCTCCTCCTCCTCCCTCCTCCTCCTCCTCCTCCCTCCCCCTCCCCGTTGCGCCCCCTCCCCCTCCTCCTCCTCTTTCCTCCTCATCCTCCTCCTCCTCCTCCTCCTCCTCCTCCTCCTCCTCCTCCTCCTCCTCCTCCTCCTCCCCTTCCTCCTCCACCTCCTTCTCCTCCTCCTCAGATCCGGGCGTTGCATTTTTTCGCAACGGGCGCTTTCGCTCGTTTCTTCAGGGCCCCTGCAGCCTCGTGGGTCGATCCAGCTCGGCTCGGAGAGCTGGGCTCGGCTCTCAGGCCGCCGCCTCACCCCCGTGCCTTTTGCCTTCCTTCCCTGCGCCGGCAGCGAGTCGCCTCTCGCGTGTCCGGGACCCCGCGGCGGGACAGGGGCCAGGGGTCGGGGCGGGAGGCTCGGCCGCGGAGCGGAAGGCGGACGGGCCGATTGGGAGGAGGAGGAAGCCCTGAGATCCTGGCGTTACTCTGTTTCACAGCGGGCGCTTCCGCTCGGTTTCGGGCACTGAGGACCCTCACAGATCGATTCGGCTCGACAAATAACGCCGAAAAACAGTGTCCTGTGCTCTGGTCGCGATTTGTTGTTTTATGTTGTAGTTGTTGTGCAACGTCGGGTCTCAGGGGAGAAAATTATGTTGTAGTTGTTGTGCAACGTCGGGTCTCAGGGGAGAAAATAATCGGCGGCGCGCACCAGAGGGGTTGGCGCGATTGGGGGTGGCCTTCTGAGAAGGCGGCGCGCTTCTTCGAGGGGAGGGGCGTTCTGAGAAGGGCCCGGAGGCTTCTGACAAGGCCTCTTAAAAGCCGGGGGGGGGGGCTTCTCAGAGGGCGGCGAGCTTCTTCGAGGGCAGGGGCTTTCTGAGGAGGGCCCGGGGGCTCCTGACAAGGCTTCTTA